CCTATTTTACAGAAGAAATACTGAAGTTTTGAAAGACTAACACGGGTCTGACACTAACACTTGGTCTGTGTAACTCCTAACTCAGTGTTCTCTCCATTAGTAGTGCCTTGACTGGTTGGAATCAGTAAATAAATATTGGTTTTTGTGATTATTTTGATTATTATAGATATCACTCACTACTTCTAATCTACACTAATAAAAGAGAAAAATGGTAATGGCATACGACGCTACCCTTTTCATTGGCTAATCAGGGCTATATGCAAATTAACTGCCAACAAGATGGCAGTTAATTTGCATATGTAGGCACAATGCAGGGAGGCGAAAGGGAAAGCAGGAAGAAGCCCCCTGCCACTGACAGTGATCGGAAACCCAGGGGGGAGCTAAGAGCCGGGGGGGGGGCCGCCTTTGCCCTGCCCCCCAGCCATGATCGGAGAATCAGGCACCTTTGCCGCCCTGGCCAGTGATAGCAGGAAGTAGGGGTGGAGCCAGCGATGGGAGCTGGGCACAGTTGAAGCTGGCAGTCCCGGGAGCTAGGGGTCCCTTGCCTGGGCCTAAAGCGGAGCCCACGATCGCGGGGCCGCTGCAGCTGCGGGTCCCCACTGCCCGGGCCGGATGCCTCAGCCAGAGGCGTCCTGCAGGGGCAGGGGCGGAGCCTGCAACCGCAGGGAGCTGGGGGTCCCCTGCCCAGGCCTGACACCTCTGCCGGAGGCCTCAGGCCTGGTCAAGGGGCCGATCCGATGATTGGTGATCGGAGGGTGATGAGGGTCAACTCCTCTGGCCGAGGCATCAGGCCTGGGCGGGGGGCTGGGGGTCCCCTGCCCAGGCCTGATGCCTGGGCCAGAGGCATCAGGCCTGGGTTGGGGGCGGAGCCGGGGATTGGGGGGATATGATGGTCCTTTTGCCCAGGCCTGAAGCCTGGGTCAGAGGCATCAGGCTTGGGCGGGGGGTGGAGCAAGCGATCAGAGGGAGATGGGGGTCCCCTGCCCAGGCATGATTCCTGGGCCAGAGGCCTCAAGCTTGGGCGGGGGTCAGAGCCAGTGATCAGGGGGAGATGGGGGTCCCCTGTCCAAGCCTGACACCTCTGGTGGAGGCGTCAGGCCTGGGCAAGGGGCCGATCAGGCAATCGGAGGGTGATTGGGGTCTACGCCTCTGGCCGAGGCATCAGGCCTGGGCAAGGGGCAGAGCCAGCAATCGGAGGGGTTTGGGGGTCCCCTAACCAGGCCTGACGCCTGGGCCAGAGGCATCAGGCCTGGGCTGGGGGCCGATCCTGCGATTGGAGGGTGATGGGGGTCAACGCCTGAGGGCTCCCAGTATGTGAGAGGGGGCAGGCTGGGCTGAGGGACACTCCCCCCCCCACCACCCAGTGCACAAATTTCGTGCACCAGGCCCCTAGTTTTTTTATAAGCTAATGAGCCTAATAGCCACATTTTAAACAAGCCTTTATAAATAGTAAAATCAATTCTCTGGCTGTTTATTTTAAAACTAGAGGCCTGGTGCACAAAAATTTGTGCACTCGGGGGGGAGGAGGGGTCCCTCAACCCGGCCTGTGCCTTCTCGCAGTCTGGGACCCCTCGGGAGATAATGACCTGCTGGCTTAGGCCTGCTCCCGGGTGGCAGAGGGCAGGCCTAATCCCTAGGTGCAGCCCCTGGTTGGGCTCAGAGCAGGGCCGATTGGGGAGTTGGGGCGCCGCCCCCTGTCATGCACAGAGCAGGGCGGATCGGGAGGTTGCAATGCCACCCTCAGTCACGCTCAGGGTAGGGCCGATTAGGGGGTTGGGGCACCGCCCCCTGTCACACTCAAGGCAGAGTCGATGGGGAGGTTGCGCGCCACCCCCTGTCACGCACAAAGCAGGGCCAATCAGGGGGTTGGGGAGCTCCCCCCTGTCACTCACAGAGTAGGGCCGATAGGGGAGTTGGGGCACCACCCCCTGTCACACACAGAGCAGGGCGGATCAGGGGGTTGGGGCGCCGCCACTGTCACACTGAGGGCAGGGCCTTTGGGGAGGTTATGCCTCTACCCCGTCACACACAGAGCAGGGCCTGTGGGATGGGGGGTTGGGGCACCGCACCCTGTCACACACAGAGTCACAGGGTGATCAGGGAGTTTGGGAGCTCCCCCTATCAGGCACAGAGCAGGGCCGATCAGGGGGTTGGGGCGCCTTCCCCTGTCATGAACAGAGCAGGGCCGATAAAGAGGCTGTGGCCCTGCCCCCTGTCACACACAGAGCCACAGGCGATCAGGGGGTTTGGGCGCTGCCCCCTGTCACGCTGATCCCGGTGCCGGGAGGCCTCGCGGCTCCGCTGATCCCGGTGCTTGCCGGGGTCCAGCCCCAGCAGGTCCAGGGGTCCCCAAAGGTGTGGATGGAGTCGGCAAAGAAGGAATGACACAGAGACAGCGTTCAGTTGATCAGCAGCCTAGCCAGGATCTCTAGCCAGAATCTCCAGCCAAGTTCTGGTCTGGATCTCCAGCGAAGTTCTGGTTCAGGATCTCCAGCCAGGCTCTGTGTCCATGTTCTCTTGCTAGGTTCTCCAGCCAGGTTCTGTAGCCATGTTCCCTTACTAGGTTCTCCAGCCAGGTTCTGTCCAGGTTCTCCAGCCAGGTTCAGTCACCAGTTTCTAGTCAGGTTCTTTTGCCATATTCTATCCAGGTTCTGTAGCCAGGTTCTGTCTCTAGGTTCTTCAGCCAGGTTCTCTCGCTAGGTTCCGTCTCTAGGTTCTGTGGCCAGTTTCTGTCCAGGATCTTTTGCCATGTTCTCTCCAGCGAAGTTCTTCTGTCTCTAGGTTCTGTGTAGGTTCTGTCTTCTAAGTTCTGTCTTCTAAGTTCTGTGTTCTAACTTCTGTGTTCTAAGTTCTGTGTTCTAAGTTCTGTATTCTAAGTTCTGTGTCTTGCTGTCTTGTTACATCTGTATTTATACCAGTTGATTCAATCCTATCAATCTCTATTACAAAGGTTAGGGCGTTTCTTATCTCCATCCCAGGGAGTAAAGATTATGTAGCTTAAGCATGATTGTTCGTAGTTAAAGTGATTAATTACCCGCCTGGCACTTAGTTGAGGGGTTTTATTCCCTCCCTAACTTCAGGGGAAAATCCCTACCTGGGGAAACAACCTTTCTCAGAGACCTTGGTTAAAACACATAGTGCCAAGAAGGTGAGCAAACATATTAAGAACAGTATGCCATATATGCCAGGTCCTTTGAAACAGCAAAGATGGACTGGCTCCCGGCAGGTGCTGGGAGGCATATTACCCTTTTACTATATAGAATAGAGGCCTGGTGCATGGGTGGGGGCTGGCTGGTTTGCCCTGAAGGGTGTCCTGGATCAGGGTGGGGGTCCCCACTGGGGTGCCTGGCCAGTCTGGGTGAGGGGCTGAGGGCTGTTTTCAGGCTGGGACTGAAGCTCCCAACTGCTCCTTTTTTTCTTTCTTTTTTTTTATTCTGGGCCAGCTTTAGCTCTGGCTCCAGCTCTGAGGCCTCAGCTGCTGAAAGTAGGTATCTGGTTTGTTTAGGTTCTATAATCGAAACTCTGTATCAACTCCAGCTCTGAGATCCCGGACTCGCTGAAAGCAGGTTCCTGGGGTTTTTTTTAGCTTCTATATTTGTAACTATGTTTCTTAAACTGCAGGCTCAGAGGCCGGCAAGGCAGGCGGGGAACGTTGGTTTCCTCCGTCACTGAAGCAAGCAAGCCTCATGTTAGTTTCAAGCTGCCTGGCTGCCGGCCGCCATCTTGGCTGGCAGTTAATTTGCATTTCGCCCTGATTAGCCAATGGGAAGGGTAGCGGTCGTACGCCAATTACCATGTTTCTCTTTTATTAGATAGGATAAAACCCAGTTGCTTAGCTTAGAATTGAAGAGCCCTTACAATTTGGCCTGTTCTCTCAGTCATCCTTATTTCTAGGGCCATCCACACGAGAAGCCTAGAATGATGAGACCTGACTCTTGTATTCAGTGTGCTTGTGGCATCACACCACTCGTGGGGGACACAGCCAGGAAGCACTGTCCATTATCACTCCTCTCTGGCAATACATATCTTGGTCTTGCTCTGGCTGGGTGACTCAGTTGGTTGGAGTGTTGTCCCATTCACCAAAAGGTTTCGGGTTCAATTCCAGGTCAGGACACATATCTAGGTTTCAGATTTGATACCCAATCAGGTGTGTAGGACAGGCAGGTGATCGATCTCTCTTTCTCTCTCTCTCTCTCTCTTTCTCTCTCTCTTTCTCTCTCTCTCTCTCCCTACTTTCCTCTCTCTAAAATAAATAAAAATATATTCTTGAGTGAGGATTTAAAAAAAGTCTTGCTCTTCTCATGAGCCCCAGTGAATGTTAGCCCTCTGTGACATTTTCCTTGGTTGGTGTAGATTTTAGAAGTTTTTCTCAGCCATGGCTCAGTCCAAATGTCACCACTAAGCGAAGAGACTTGCCTGCTAGAGCCAGGACTGGGACCCAGGTTTTCCTGCACGACCACTTCTTCCTTTTGGTCCAGCAGTTTCTTCCTCCCCCTTTACATTCAACACACAGACCACGCAGCTCAGTCTCTGATTCCACACTGTCTCGTTCTTTGGGTGTCTTGCACATCCAGTCTTACCTGTGTGACAAGGTGATTAAAGTCTTCAGGAACATCAGATACCACTTGTGTGTGTGTGCGTGTGTGTGTGTGGCTGTAGAAGCCAGGTGGTAAACACTTCCTGACCCGACTGTGAAGTGCACACCACACCCAAGCACATGTTCTTCCCTTGACCCTCAGACCCTGGCGCTCCATAGAGGACTCACACAGTGGCATATCCAGAGAATTCAACTAATGAAAGAAACATGTTTCTGGCGCATGCCACATCAGCAACTCCTGGGTGGCTTTTCTTTAACTAAGTGACTAACCCATTTGGTTGACAAATCTGGCAAGGATTTTACCTGTATTCAGAGACAGGAATGAAATAACATGATGGTACTCATTGACGTTTGTTTGAATTCTGGTTTTCTCACCATCCGGCTTATCTGTTTTCCCTGTTAGGATTCCCTGCTGCCAGCCTCTTTCTCAGTCCTTTGGAGTTTGGCCTAATAGAAGACAGAGGGTATGAAGTCGATCCTAGATGGCCTTGCAGACACCACCTTCCGCACCATCACCACGGACCTCCTCTACGTGGGATCGAATGACATTCAGTACGAAGATATCAAAGGCGACATGGCATCCAAATTAGGGTACTTCCCGCAGAAATTCCCTTTAACTTCCTTCAGGGGCAGTCCCTTCCAAGAAAAGATGACTGCGGGAGATAGCCCTCAGTTGGTCCCAGCGGACCAGGTGAACATTACCGAATTTTACAACAAGTCTCTTTCGTCCTACAAGGAGAATGACAACATTCAGTGCGGGGAGAACTTCATGGACATGGAGTGCTTCATGATCCTGAACCCCAGCCAGCAGCTGGCCATCGCCGTGCTGTCCCTCACGCTGGGCACCTTCACGGTTCTGGAAAACCTGCTGGTGCTCTGCGTCATCCTGCACTCCCGCAGCCTCCGCTGCAGGCCTTCCTACCACTTCATCGGCAGCCTGGCGGTGGCAGACCTTCTGGGGAGTGTCATCTTCGTCTACAGCTTCGTTGATTTCCACGTGTTCCACCGCAAAGATAGCCCCAACGTCTTTCTGTTCAAACTGGGCGGCGTCACAGCCTCCTTCACGGCCTCGGTTGGCAGCCTGTTCCTCACAGCCATCGACAGATACATATCTATTCATAGGCCCCTGGCCTATAAGAGAATCGTCACCAGGCCCAAGGCTGTGGTGGCCTTCTGCCTGATGTGGACCATCGCGATTGTGATCGCTGTGCTGCCTCTCCTGGGCTGGAACTGCAAGAAACTGCAATCGGTTTGCTCAGACATTTTCCCACTCATCGATGAAACCTATCTGATGTTCTGGATCGGGGTGACCAGTGTGCTGCTGCTATTTATCGTGTACGCATACATGTACATTCTCTGGAAGGCTCACAGCCACGCGGTCCGCATGATTCAGCGCGGCACCCAGAAGAGCATCATCATTCACACGTCGGAGGACGGCAAGGTGCAGGTGACTCGGCCGGACCAAACCCGCATGGACATCAGGCTGGCCAAGACCCTGGTCCTGATCCTTGTGGTTTTGATCATCTGCTGGGGCCCTCTGCTTGCCATCATGGTGTATGATCTCTTTGGGAAGATGAACAAGCTGGTGAAGACGGTGTTCGCCTTCTGCAGTATGCTCTGCCTGCTGAATTCCACCGTGAACCCCATCATCTATGCTCTGAGGAGCAAGGACCTGAGACACGCGTTCCGGAGTATGTTCCCCTCGTGTGAAGGCACCGCGCAGCCCCTTGATAACAGCATGGGTGACTCGGACTGCCTGCACAAACACGCAAACAACACAGCCAGTGCTCACAGGGCCACGGAGAGCTGCATCAAGAGCACTGTCAAGATCGCCAAGGTGACCATGTCTGTGTCTACAGACACGTCTGCCGAGGCTGTGTGAGCCTGATGCCTCATGGGCAACACAGGAAAAGAAATTATTTTTTTTTAAGCTAAAAATCTAGAAGAGTCTGTCGTCTCATCAGTTATATTTTTTAAGTTTATCGTGCTCACTGAAAAGGTGATTGTTACCATGATCAGTTGTCTGTTCGCTGATGTTTTGATAGTGTAGATTCTCAAACTCAGTTCTCCAGGGATTTACAGTGAAGAAAGCCTGTTGCTTAAGTGACTGGAAGGTCCTTCAAAGTGTCAGTGAAACAGGAGGGAAGCCTTTTGCTACACAATTTGCAGTCTAAGTACCACTGGAACAACGCCATGAAATGAGTAATGCCTTTGTAACCACCACTTTCATTATAATGTGAAATGTATTTGTCCATCAGTATCAGAGCTGTCCATTTTTACAAGTTATAGTACTAAAGTAGAGCTATTTTGTAAAATGTATTGTGTCCTGTGAAATGTGTACCGGTGTTTACTATGTGTTGTTTATATTTGTCTAGTTCAGCAAAACTGAAAAGTAGAATTTTATGAAAACAGTGGAATATAAGCAGTGGGTATATGCCAACGAGACCACTTTTTTTAAAGAGTATTGCCCATGATATAACTTTAGAAACCTTAATATTTTTCAAATATCTCTATTTAAATTTGACATTGGAAATAATGATAAAGGTTGTTGTTGTTTTCTGTTAATACAACAAGAAGAATTGGAAGACTCTCCAAAGTATTGAGCAGAATTCAGTGACACTTAAAAATTTATTAGCTCTGCATTTTCATACAAGGACATTTATGATCTTCTGGACTAAAGCTATTCTCTTGGGTGATGGATTACAATTATAACAGGGGGGAAAGGTATATTGACTTTTTTGGCTGACGTCTCTGACTTTCTTTAGTCTTTAGCTATTACTGGACCTCTTAAGACAGCATGTGTCAATCTTAATGTATATTGTTATCACTGTGCAATTGCTGTTTACTTGAAGAGTATTGTATCCTTGTGTTCCAGGTTTAAGTAGATTTTATGCCTGGATGGCCAAACAACAGTCTTCATTTTTTTTTCTTAATTGAAAAGAAGTATTTATTGTCTGGATCAGTAAAATTGTACTGTGTGTGAGTGTGAATATAAATGTGTGTACGTGTGTGTTTCTATCCTGCAACTGTTACCGTAATGTCATAAAGTGAGAAAACTGTGACGAAGTGTAAACTGTACCACTTGCTGTACTCTTGTACATGAATTCAGTTTCTAAAATCGAGTTCATTGAGATAATCTTGTTGATAAAAATACTGACCACGAGCATTCAGAACCCTCCCCCACCTCTACCACTGCCTTTAAGAGGCTGGGTCAAGTATTACTAAATTGACCTTCAGGTATTTTATAAGACCAGTGTTTAGCAAGGAATAATCAGTAATGAACATTTAAGTGAAGGTCTGTATTTACAGTGTTAATAGCAGGAAATGAGAGTGTTTTGGTTTCTGAGCACATAATATGAAGTCCATGGAGATGTAAGTCATTATAAGGAAAGTGGTTCTAAAAATCCTACAATGGTAACATTTTTTGATTGCGCTTGTAGGTAGTGTGATCCCGGCTTAAGTAACATACACGGCTTCCTGGTAGTGAGACGGCCAGGTCCAGCCGGTGTGGCTAAGGGGCCTATCAGACAGTGAGTGGGTGGGTGAGACCGAAAAGGGCAGTGAGGAGCTGACACACCCGTGATAGAGGCCTGGATGACATATGGCTGCTCTGTGCTTCACCCAGATGCCCTTGGGGACAACCCAGCACCCAGCTGGTTTGGGTTAAGGAATAGACCTCTTGTCTGGTCCTGGTAACCAAGATCTTCTACAGCATAAGGATGAGCATGGCTTCCTTTCCTCCCACACCCTGGTCTGCTACTCCTTAATGGTGCTCAGAGTCAGGCCCTTTCCCAGCAAGCTTAAGAAATGGATACTGCTTAAGAAACCACTTGACTGGCAAACTTTACTTATAATCTTCTCCTTATGCAACCAAAGCACGTCTCCTGCAGGATCCAGAGGCCTGCATAGCATGAAGTGAAATGGAGAGCTAGTGTTTTTGGTGACGTTTTAGATATTTAGATACCTTTCAGCCTGGCCTAAGGCTGAACGTGGCCTGTGGACCAAGCTGAGATACTTTAATCATCTGTGTACATAGCTCAAATCCACCCACTGGTTCCCTTGCTTTACCTCTCTGTGATATGCAGATGAGGGCTCAGGTTGCTAGAGCATTAATAAGATCTCTTTAGAAGAAGGAGAAAAGATTCTTTATGAAAAAACTCACCAGGGTCTAGTTTTCATTTAAGAAATGTCACTCTTTTGTCCCGCATTAGCCTGAATATTAATCTACATGTCTCAGAGCTCACTAGACAATACAAACTTTCTTCTCACAGCTATGAAGACATAGTAAGAGTGAAATTCTACTTATTGGTAAAAAAACAACACAACAAATCTCCAGGATTCATTTTTGAAACTGTATTTGTATGTATGCAATGTAGATTTTATAGTGTGTTGTGCTTTCAAGATCTAAATCATATATAATCAATGAAGGGACCATGGGGCTGACAGCACTAAACTTGGTGCTTATTGATATTCTAAGAAATATCTGTGAAATATCATCATGTATGTGTTATACCTCCTTCATTTTAAAACAAATTAGTTTGATTCCCTTTGACACTTTTAATATCGTTTCCTAACCAGGTTACTCAGATGTCCTCTCATGAATATACTCAGAGTTACCATTTATTAGTATCATGCATTAATTAGTTCCTTAATTAGATCTATTAATTTAAACATAATTTAGATTTCAATAAGTGTTTAAAGGTCCAACTTCAGAGTTATCTACTTTCCTCTGAGAATAATACATTTGTCCTGACCATGCATTCCACCATCACATATGTCGTCAGAAAGGGCCAAACTTCCAACCTGCTCACTTTCTTCAGAGTAATGATGAATCTTTCAGTCCTACACTGGGAATGTCTTTTTTTTTGCATGGGGCTCTTAGCGATGTGGGCAGACTTGCTAATTTAGTGGCTGGTACTTATCAGGAGTATACATGCATGTGTTCTGAACCAGCTCAGACTCGCCACAGTAAGCAGCTTTGTGGCTAGCAAAAGAGAAAGAGCAGTTGTTTAGACAAGGAGGGCTGCTCCCAAGAACTTCTAATTTTTCATTATCTGTGAAATATATGTAAAAGAAACACGAATCTGGGAAAAGCTGCGACATATGCCTACACTTGAGATGGTTCCCAAGCCTCCCCATCCATCACTTTGAGTCAAGTCTATCTGGCATTAGGTGTCAAAGCATTTCAGCCGCGTACACTCACCCTACACCAAATGAGAATTAGAGCCTGGATGAGTAGCATCCTAGTTAGTGCCCTAATGATTAATTTCTGCCATTCCATGTCTGTAAAAGAGACCACCAATATCATGCGCAAAATTAGATTTCTCACAACCTAGCTGTACATTTGTATGATATTTTAAAATCTCCTAAATGCTGGGCAATGGCTATTAACAAATGTCTTGCACTGGCCTTCTGATGAAATGTTAACAATGCCTATTGTAATATAGACACAACATTTTATCTACTGATTTGGGCTGAATGTATGTAAATAGGTTTAAAAAAAAAAAGTCAGATGTTGAAGCAGTGGCCTACGAATCAGTAATTTTCAGATAGAAGAGTTTCTTTCCTTTGCTGTAGCCTCCTAAAAGCTGTCTTCACTTAAATTTAGTGCACTAGGCCTGCTGGGGATTGGAGTCCCCAGGAAAGGAAACCTTTTCTTGTAATAATATAAATGAAGATACTAGATCATCTGGGTTCTTCCAACGTTTCAAGTGGAAAACAATTCTTTATTGTCTGTAAATCTAACATTATTACTTTTCCTCTTAGAAAAATATTGTATTGTTAGGTGTTTGTTGAGCTGGTAACATCCTTGCAACTGCTGCAGTTTCGTTGTTAGTAATCTGTATAATATTTTGTACACAAGTACCGGTAAGATTGTTATTCACTGTAGCTTCAGTCATTAAATTACTATAGCAAAGTAGTACTTCTGTAATATTTATAATGTATTAAGCCCACACTCTACTTTATTTCAATGATATAATTACATTGTCATTTATAAAATTGTTACTTACTAAGGAAAACATCCCATCATGTCAATTGTCCAAAGTTACCTGGAATTAAATAAAAATTCTAGATTATCATGAAGAACATAAAATATCTTTGAATTCTGCCTTATTTTCACAGTCTGGTGTTAAAACATTCAAGATTTAAGTTCTAAAGGGTTGTTAAACAACTGATTATCAATTCCCAAAAAGCAAAACTTTATTTGAGAAATGGAGACAGATTGGATTAATATATTCATTTCTAACATGGGAAAAACATGCAAAAGCCATCATTCATAAAAAGGAAGAAAGCCTGCCATGCCTTTTTAAAGCATTATTTCATCAAAGAGTTGAATGATAGTTCAGTAAATTAAACAAACGTACTGTTCACAATGTTACTGTAAACAAAGTAAATTGAAATTTAGCAGATTTATTAAAACATATGTCTAAAGAATTTTATAAAATCATATATTCTGAACCATGTGAAAGAGATTACTTTTCAATGTAGCTTGTGAAAACACAATTTTTATTTGAACAGTAAGAGAAAATAGTTTAAACACTTTATAACGAAGTAAAAAAGCATTATAATTAAGTTTACACATGATTACTGTCTAAAGTATGTTTGTAGTCAATTTTGAAAGAAGGCTTTAAATTTTCAAATAAGGAATTGGTAAATATTGAAAACCGATTATTTTTATTTTTAATGGCTATAATCAAAATTTATAATTTTCCCTTTTTTAAGATAAATACTATGGTAACTACATGAAATGAAATGTATCTAATGAAAAGCAGATGATGTGTTCTTAGTTCTTTAATTTTATACTGTGACTAGATGGGAATAAGATTCTTATTTCATATCTTCACATAGCATCTTGGAACTCAAAAACTAATCCCCAGTCAATAATGTGTGCTCCATCTATAATGAAATACATATATATCTAGATTGATGTAGAAACAGAAAACCAATTAGAGTATGCTAGAAGCTCCACAGTCTCCCCACAGATAGTTCCAACTGGAAAAATCCCACCCATACCTCTAGGCCAGCGGTTCTCAACCTGTGGGTCGAGACCCTTTGGGGGTCGAACGACCCTTTCACAGGGGTCGCCTAAGACCATCAGAAAACACATATATAATTACATATTGTTTTTGTGATTAATCACTGTGCTTTAATTATGTTCAATTTGTAACAATGAAATTTGGGGTCACCACAACATGAGGAACTGTATTAAAGGGTCGCGGCATTAGGAAGGTTGAGAACCACTGCTCAGGCTATCCTATGATCAGAGTTTCTGTGGCTTGGAGGTGATAACGATAACGTGAAGTTTTGGGCTCCACACTGGAATGTAGAAAGTCAACAATACACATCAGCAATGTTCCTAGCTTTCCTGTCCCTGGGATGCTGGTTAGGAAAATTTGGAATGTACATATCTGATTAGGTTAGGGGTAATGAAATGTGGAATGGGCATTCTCTAAACATCTCAGAAGTACCAGTCATTGAGCTACTACTGTCTTAACCACTTCAGAAGTTTCTAGGTAAGGTTAAATAATGAATATATAGGATTTTGGATGCACAGTTCCCTGTGACATAGCCAAAGGAAAAGAAAATGGTAGGAAGGAATAAGAAATGAGATGAAAATACAATTACAGTCTTGGATAAAGAGAAAAATGAGATTCTGGGACTCTAGTACTAATTAAATACATTGTTTATTGCTTTGAACATGAGTGCTAAAATATTAGTAGAGCAAATTAATAATTTTTCTCTTAATACTAAGAAATAGGTGACTAATGCAGCACTTCAGTTAATGGTAATAATAATTATAATTGAATTTCTAACATCTTTGGATAAGTGTGATCCATTTGAAAATGTTCCAATGTTCTTTATCCAGTACACAATCTTTTTTACTAATATCAGAATCATGATGAATGTCAAAGATACCCAGCTTTGCTAACAGAGGCAGCTATTGTGCTGGAAAGAACACTGGAGAAGAAATTATTAGGTTCAGAATATA